GATAAAGGTGTGGCACATATACACATTAGAGTACTACTCAATGGTTAAAAACAATGACACCTTGAAATTTGCATGCAAATGGATGGAACTAGAAAACACTATCCTGTGTGAGATAAGCGAGACCCAAAAATATGAATATGGTATATTCTCACTCATTAGTAGATACTAGCCATAAACAAAGGCTATTGAACCTATAGTTCATGGTCCTAGAGAAATTAAGTAATAAGGTGATCCCAAAGAAAAACATATATAGATCTACCTGGAAATTTGAAGCAGACAAGATTGCCTGACAAAATTTGGAATCATGGAGGCAGGGGTTTGAGGGAAGGGGAGAAGGGGAAGAGGAAGGGAGAAGGGAAGGGTTGAGGAGAGCTTAAGAAAATGGGATACTTGAAAACAGGTGTATTCTGGGAAGAAGGAAGCACTTTCCAGAGTCCTGTCTAGATTAAAGAAGAAGCAAGATGTGACCTACCCCCACTGAAAAAGATACCAAGCCATGTGGCTAACATAGACTAGAAAAATGGGCTAATATGAGTTATAAGAGCTAGTAAGGAGCCTGAGCTAATGGGGCAATCCGTTTAAAATTAATATAGATCTCTGGGTAATTTCTTTGGAGGTTACCTGCTGTGGGAACTGGGTAGGACAGAAACCTCAACCAGCAAGCCACCATGTTACAGAATGGCGCCCCTGTGGATAACTGTACCCACAGAAGGCCTGAGAAAGCTTGGGGAAGAATGGAGTAAAGCATGTTGTCTTGGTAGCAGCAATTTCTCGGGTCTGCTCTGGTTGTTAGAGGCAAGTAAGTGTTCTCATTTAAGAGAGGCTTCCTGACTCAGATTTAGTTGCAAAACCCTGCAGCTCTTTAAAGAGGTCCTGCCACAAAACACTTAAATGGTGTTTAATTAAATGGTATTGACAAATATCTGACCACATGCCTTTTGGATTTTAGCTGTAGCAGGAAAAAAGCCATGCTGTTTTACAATGCCAGCTTTCTGGGCCATCCTGCTAGGGCAAACTCTGACTCTTTCAGGCAGGCAGTCTGACTACGGAGCATTTGAATATGGTTTGTGAGCAGAATGCTGCAGCTTGCTTGCTGGCAGGGACCTTGAAACACCATAGAGTTGTGGCAATAAACATGGCTCCTGGGATCTCACAAAGGTAAGGAATGGGCTGGATCCAGCCATCAAAGCCACAGCTTTAATTCTATTCATATTCCTTAGTAAATTAAAGACTCATGTGGTCAGAAAAAGAGAGAGATATACAGTAAAGATACATTCAAAGAGGAAGGAAACCTCTAAATGGTTTAATGTGTGTTTAAAAATATATGCAGGCTAAAGGTTAAAGTCCTTAAAATAAGAAAGAAAGACAGTAGTTGGGTGTGGTTGTACACGCCTTTAATCCCAATGTTTGTGAGTCAGAGAGACCTCTGCGAGTTCAAGATGTGGCACTCAACTTCTCCCTCCAACAACAAATTTTCTAAAAAGAGCATGTGGATTTTTCACTAGGGGAAGTATAAAAACCACAGCCTCCTAGGATGGTTTTGAGTCTTTAGTTAATCAGTATTCTTTTGTGGGTTTCAGAACTGATAGGATGGGGGCCATACCATAGTCCCTGTCTTAGTAGTTGTCCTGTTCAGTTGGAAGTTATAATTTCTTCCTGGTTTATTAGTGGGATATTATTACTTTATGAGGAAATTTCTAAGGATCTCAGAGTTGAATTTGAACTTTACAGTTATGCCATGCTAGGATGGTATGCATATTATGGCCAGAGAAGTTTATAATTTCCCTCTGGAGACAGAGTTTGATCATTGAGTATCCAGATCTTAAGATGATGCTGAGCTTGGTCATAATAATTTTTCCTAGTAAGGGAACAGGGAATGAGGCGCAATTAGAAATCAGGAAATAAGAGTTTAATAATATTATTAAGATAAAAGAAGAATAAGGTAACATCTCTGCCTTCCACTCCATTGACAGTTGTGAAACCAGAGGGGATGACTATCTGCAAAAACAGTTAACAATGAGTACTCTTCCCTGAATCAATTCCATAGGAAATTGAATTTGCTTGCTTGTGATTGCCAGAGTAACCCAGAGTTCCTCAGTGTTGAGGATGATGTTCTCCAGGCCTTCATAATCATCCTTTTATTCCATTGCCATCAGGTTTAGTAGTTACCTGGTTCCATTGGAACTTGAGGGTTACCTTTGACCCTCTTATTATTAAACATTGAGACTTCTCATTTCCCAGACTATTGCAATTTCTAGATTCAAGGACCCCAATACTCTGTTTTTTTGGTGATATAATCTGTGATATTTCTCATGTAGCTACAGAGAAATTTTTTTAAACTTGGATCAAATATATGAATCATCTTATTGATTATATTAGTTACTTTTCTATTTCTATGAAAAAACTCCATGGCAAAGGCAGCTTATAGAAGTACACATTTAATTTCAGAGGGTTGAAAGGCAAAAGCATGGTGGCAGGAACAACTGAGAGCTCACATCTTGACCTGCAAACAGGAAGAAGAAAGAGAACACTGGCGATGGCATGAGTTTTTGAAATTTCAAAGCCTGCTCCCAGTAACATGCCTCTTCCAACAAAGCTGTAACTCATTATCTTTCTCAAACAGTTCAACCCATTGGAGACCAAGTATTTAAATATGTGAGCCTATGGGGCCCATTATCATTTAAACCAGCACATTGATTATCCTTTTATTTCTCATGCACACACTGAATCAAGTTACTTGGATGGGTATATCAATTTCCAGGAATTTGTCCTTATAATGAATTATCACCCTTAGGGACAGGTGCAATCTCTTCTTTAACTCTTACTTCGAGAGTAGCACAACACAAGGGTCAATTGGAGGATATTGAAAAGCCACAGTCAACACCAAGAAAGAGGCCATGCATTATGGGACAACTCCATTTAACCAAAGTATTTATGTTTCACAAGGCTGGAGACATCCAGCATCTAAAGGAGAGAATCTAAAGGGGGCCCAGTCTGAAATAATCAACCTCACCCTGCTCTTCTCTCACATAGAATGCCTGTTTTGGGGAAAGTCAGACCAAAAACTGCAATTTATTCTACATTGTAAGTCATCACGGTTCTCTATTCTGTCCATTTATGCTTGTAGTGGCCTGTAGAATGAGTTCTGGTACTATTTCCAGATCTAGATGATCTTTTTAAAAGTCATTGGTTTAAAGAAGAGTTCCAATTTCTGCTTGGCATGGGGGTACTCCAGGACTCTTGACTCTGGAATCCCAAGTGATTTTTATTGGAGGTATTCCTTTTCCTGGCTCCCCAGCATTCCCCAGCTTTTTCTCACTGAAAAAAAATGGAGTTGCTCTATTACATGGTTTCATTCCTGGATTACAGATTGTTTGGCCTCTGCTTTGAAAGAACTTTCTGTTCTGTTTTGTTCTCTTTCACAACCCAAATGCTGTCTCATTCAGTGGTGCCTTTCAGCTCAATTCAGCTTAGTTTAGTTCAGGTCAGGTCAGTCATACTTAGTTATTTAGTGTACTGTGGTGTCTCATTTATTTCAGAGCTCTGTTAGAATAGATAACATGAGCTCTACTTTAGTCAAAAAGTCCTCATGGATGTTCTGAAAAAGGGTTGTGATGATGTTTATAACCCTATGAAAAGAAATTGAAGCATTATTATAACCAAGCCAGGCTTCTTTATGTTTTGGGCTCCAGGAGAAATGATCAATTACTGTGCTCTATATTATAATGCCATTTTACAACTAGAGTTGGTTTCCAAGGCTTGGGGAAAAGGGAAATACATTAAGCCTACACAGCAAACTCTATTTTCCTACCTTTCAACATTTGCTTAAAGACGTTTCTTCTAAGCACTTGCATATTCTACCTTGTTTGTGCCAAATGGGTGGTATCTGAATTACTGCAATTGTTTTATGTCTCCATTTGTCTCTAAAATGGGATGAGTCAAGACTTCATTTGCCTCAGAATTCCTGAAAAAAAGAAAGATAAACAACAGACAGCCTGTCCTTAGAACCTCTCCTATACCACCTGGATACTTAAAAATTGTCCTTAAAGGGTTGTCTTTGCTCTCACACCTTGACATCCGTCGTTTGCTCCACCTCTCATACCAGTATTATAGATCCCATAGCAACAAGCAGACAACAGGAAGTGGAGACAAACCACATGGTGAATCAGCATGACTTCAGATAAAATTGTTTAGAGACAAGGGACATGAGGCATTCAAAGTAAGCTAAAGTTATCCATGGTGGAACATGCTTGCGATTTCAAACAATGACACCCTGTATTACAGGCAGTGCAGATCTCCCTATGTCCACTCACACCATGCTAGATACAAGAGAGACAGAGAGCTGCAGCAAACATGTAAAGGCATAGCAGAGGATTCTGGGGTCTGGGGTCTGCGGTCCCGTGGTCTTGCCTAAATGAGAATGGCACATCAGAGGATTCCCTTCTGGTGGGCTGACATCTGAACTTCAATTGCAGCTTGCTGCTCCTCTGGCATGGTCAATGACAGTTCTTGTCCTCAGTGTGATAAGTGAAGTTGGGGTAGATATCATCTCTATAAAAAAGTACTAGAGAGCCTGAAACCAACACAAGGCATAGTACTGGGGAAATGAAAGCCAGTTGCGTGGGAAGATACTTCCTTTTCCTGTGGTGCTGAAGAAATGGCCATCATGTGATGGGGAGTACTGGATTCCCTAGGCCACACCTGGCATTGCTTGTCCATATGGCCAGACACTTCAGCCCTGCTGCTAAGCACAGTTGTGTAGCCACAGGAAGGAGATGCCATGACTATTGCCTTCACTGTCCTGCTCTATCTTGGTGAGATATCAATACTGGACAGGGATACTGTGATCTGGTGGTGGTGGTGAACATGCCTCAAAGCTAGACCCTGATTCATCAGGAAACCCTAGTGGTGCAGGAACTTCTGGAGAGGGGTGGATCTTCTCTGATTTGAGGGGCAAAGGTCACACAGAAAATTCTCTTTCAGGACTGAGCCTGATCCCCATGACCTATGTACCAGCAGGTGAGTGCGGCTAATGACGCTTCTTCTCCTGTAGATCAGGAGCAAACCCTTGACCAGAGGTTGGGGGAGGGAAATAAAGAATTACAGATGTGAACTACTCCTGGTTCATTCTCAGAGGTTTTTGGGACTGAGGGATGAGATTAGGGTGCCTATGCCCTGTGATCAAGCTGCTGATTTCTCTGCAGAAATTATGGGCAAACCCACACTTAGAGCTCAGCCAGGTTCCGTGATGACCAGCGGCATGCAATTGACCATTTCATGTGAGGGAACCTCGAGCGCTCAGGAATATTATCTCTATAAAGAGGGCAGTCCAAATCCCTGGCGACGACAGAGCCCTCTGGAGCATGGGAACAAGGCCGAGTTCTTCTTCCCGTCTTTTCATCCGAACGAAGCAGGGAGATATCGCTGTTACTATAGGACCCACACTGGCTGGTCAGAACGCAGTGACTTTCTGGACTTGATGGTGACAGGTAAATGAAAACTCAGTCTCTTCATTCCAAGGTTCTGTCCTCAGGAGAGTATCTTTCCTTTGCTTTGAAAAGTCCCAATTCTGGAGGGTAAATCCCAAGGTGCTGGTTCTTTTAACAGGATGCCATCTTCTTCTCTAGGATTCTACAGAAAACCCAGTCTATCAGCCCGGCCCAGCCCAGTGGTGAGATTTGGAGGAAATGTAACTCTCGAGTGTATCTCACAGCTTGGATATGATGGGTTTTCTCTGACTAAGGAAGAACAACAGAAAATCTCTTGGACCCTAGACTCACAGTACATATACTCTAAAAACAATGTCCGGGCACTGTTCTCTGTGGGTCCTGTGACCTCTGGACATAGGAGGACATTCAGATGCTATGGCTATTACTTGAATAAACCCCGGGTGTGGTCAGAACCCAGTGATCCTCTGGAGCTACTGGTCTCAGGTGAGGAAGCCCAGCTTGTGTACTGAAAGATAGTTCATCTGACAAAATACCTAGGGATCCGGGACTCTGAAAATCCCATTGACACAAAGAATGAAGACAATAGGACCCAAGATAATGAAACTGAAAGAGGGTACTGAGAGTGAAACATGAGTTGTCTAGAAGACGGGTGGGGTCTTTCTGTCACTCTAGTGTTCCTTCTGCTATTCAAGGATCAGCTCTATGATCTCCATATAATCATGTAATAAGTAGATACATATGTATATGATAGTTGTATGTTATATGCATTATATATGATTTTATATAACTGTAAATCCAGATACTCATTGGAGAGAAAACACGGTATTTATCTTTCTATTTTCTATTTATGCTGTTTAATATATTGATCTCCATTTGCAGCCAGGTTTTAAAAATTTTCCTGCACAAATAATTTTTCCTTCAAATAAATAAATCTAAAATTGCATGGTTACTATAAACTTACTCATATGCAAGTATAATATTATTTTGTTATGTTCACATATATTTATAATTACAGAAATCCATCTACAATTTTATATGGTTATGTATATATATGAATATATGTAAATGTAACTTATTAATATATGAGTGTTACATTTAAATCATTTCTACCTTTTCCATTCTTCCTCTCACTATTTCTGTGTTTTTCAAACCCTTTTAACTTTGGCCTCTGATTTTTAACTGTTATTCTTATACACAACACACACAAGCACACGAACACATAAATGCACATCTTACAGCCTAGCTTGAGATTCTTTTGATTCTTCCATTTTCTCGCCTTGTCTCCAAACGATTTTATCTGAAGACCTCACAGATTCACCATGTGGTTTGTCTCCACTTCCTATTGTTCACTAGTTGCTATCTGATTTTGTTAGTTTGATTTGACCCCAGGATATACAGAGGAACAAGAGACTATAGAATTCAGGTGGTCAATATTTTGGTCTTCTTTAAGCAACCATACTTTTGAAATTTCATGGGTGTAGCTTCCCTCTCTTGCCTAGAAGTCTCTATTGTGTAGCAGGAATCTTGTTCCTCTGGCTGTTGTAACCTTCCTATCTCTCTTACTCAATGTTCCCTATATTTTATATATACAGTTTGTGTTGTAGGAGTACCCATTTGGACTGGGCACACCAAGCCATCTTATTTCTGTTTTGACCAGTTGTGGATTTTTATAATCATCCTCATCTGTAGAAACAGATGCTTCTTTGATGAGGAGACACAGTTAAACTTACTTGTGGGTATAAGGATAAACACTTAGAATGAAGTCAGAAATCACATTGATTTAGGAACATGGAAGAATTGGTTTCTAATCTAGAGTCCAAGCCTCTCCAGATATGGGTAAAAGTAATATATTTTACATCCATTTTACTGTCGTATTCTTTGATGATTTAGCTTACCTACTTATGAGAACGTATCTACTTCTACCTACTTATGAGAACATATCTACTTCATGGACATTGTGAGCACATCTTTAAGTTCTTGTGATCTCATTGTTTGTACTATTAATGCTGTGATGATTATAGAATGAGATGTTAAACAGAAGCATCATGGGAACTGGGTGACTTGAATGCAGGCAGAGAACTCAGACTGTCATTATTTTGTGTAATTCATATTCATGGGACCCTGATGACAAGACATTGTCTGCATCTTGGCATCTCAGCCAGTGAATGAGTGCAAACTAATTTCCAGGGGAATTGGCTTCCAGGATTCTATACTACAGCAGAACTTGGATCATAGGAAGGCCTTTATATTTTAAACTGGGAGGCTGTATTTTTCCATCTTAGCTTTCTGAAAAACAATGCACTTGGTTCCAATGAAGTTTATTGGCCACAAGTTCTAAACTCAGAGCATAGTCAGGCTGAAGAAATCAAGCAAAAGCCCAGGAGAAAGCCTGCTATAGCAGAGAAATGGTTTGTTCCAGTTCTTTATTATATTTTGTGATGAGTATAATATGCATTTCTAAGGAATAGTAATACACATCTTTGCAAAAATAATCAGTTCTCTTGAGCACTTCATACGTTGATCATGCCTTTGTTTCTCAGAAGTGCCTGAGACCACCAGCCAACCACAAAACATGTCAGAAGCCACAATAGGTTAGTAAGGAAAATTTTGGTTTGGGCATGGATACAGAAGGTCAAATTGTATACACAGGAGGGAGCTACTCAGAGTGAAAATACAATTACATTCTGGTGGCTTTGTTTGTTCCTTCACCTGTTTGTCCACAATCTCCAGTCTCACAGCCTCAAGATCACACAGTGGAGAACATCATTCGGATGGGCGTTTCTGGTTTGATTCTCACACTACTCGGGATTTTGCTGTTTGAAGCTTGCTACAGCCGGAGAAGACCTTGATTGCATCTTAGAAGTGAAGACAAGAGATGGCCACAGGCTTGCATTGTTACTATCTGAAAAATAAATTTGTGGATCTTAGGGATTTTTATAAGAAAATTCAATGTTTGATACTGGGAATCACTTGTGAGAAAAGATCCAAGAATCAAATGTGTTTTGGATGTATGAAAGCATGTAACTATTGAGTTGGAGAGCTCTTCCAACATCACATTAAGGCTTATATCCTCTACCTTGCCGTGGACTTTGAGAATTTTTTCTCTCCTTCCCTTTTACAGGGGAACTTATTGTCCCATTAGTGAAGTTTGGTCCTGAACTTTGTATATCTTCTCCTTTCTCAAGTTTCTTGTCATATTTTATTATAAATTATCATATTTCCTATTATGAACATCTGCTTTTGTGGATGTTTTTGTACTAGGAACAAGGAATTTGACTCAATAACAACAACAAAAATATTAATGAACACAATTCAGATTCCCAAATGCTAAAATAACTGAATATAAATGATGCTCCCAAATTCTGTACTCTCCCTTAGGTATTTTACTATGCACATTCATTGTGAGGTTTTTGTTAATTTATAAAAAACTACTGTCTAGTGTTTAAAGGAACTATGAGTGGGACACTGTTCATACAGTCTCAAAAATATCATTTTTTTAAATGTCGCTCTGTGACTTTTGCTGATTGATATGTATAATCCTTTGCATGGATACCTTGTATTCCTGTATTCCAAGGTCAGTCAGATCCATGAAGGCAGCAACAAGGAGCAGTGAAAACAGCAGACATGACCACCTTTGCCCTCTTTGCTGTTTCTGTGTGAGGAGACAGAACACCACCAAATGCTGATAAATTTTTGCATTCTCACAATAAAAGGTATTTGTTTAGTTCTCAATTGATTATTGATATATTGAGGTCCATATGTACTATCAAAGAGGGCACACATGTTTTATGCATCCCAGCTGTTTTGTTAAGGTCAATTTATACATTTCATTGTTAATTATGTGAAAACTGGGGTATGGGGCTGTGAAGATGCAGAGACCAATGGAGATAAAACTAAAACACTGTTAAGAAGGAGATGGTGAGCATGAGGACTTAAAATGACCAAGTCAGCACAGAGGTATAGAGAGTCTGGACAGACCATCATGGCTCCTGAACTTTTAATATTTTTCTTATGCATTATCTTCATTAAGGTGATTGATGCGGGAAGTCACATTTTAACTGTGGTAGGAACTATTTTTGGGACAAGGAGATACTGGTGTGAATAAAATGAAGATGTGAACTCAGCACTAGCATGTAATCATTCATCCTTCTCTGCTTCTTCTATGTGGATATAAAGCTTCTGGATGCTTCAAGGTTCTGTAGACTTTGTTTCTCTTTTAATCAACTGTACCCTGGAGCTATGAGCTGCATAAGTATTTTCTGCATTAAGCTGCTTCCACTTCTCATGTTTTTATTTTATCACAGTAGCAGGAAATGTAACACAGAGAGATCTTTGATCCCCTCACTTAACAATATTTGTGTGTTGACCACTCAGGGTTATGCCTGTTTTCTACAGGCAACCACACTTACTATGAGCACATTACTACACTGTGATATGTGTTCAGGAGATGGAATTTGACAGCACTACTCTTCTTCCCTCATCTGTCTTCTTTAGCATTCCCTGAACCATGGAGAGGGGGATACAGATGTGCTGATTAGGTCAAAGCATTCCATGGTTACTCATTTTCCACACATTTACAAGCTACAAGTTTGTACTATCAATTTATTATTGGCAATTGCATACAAAAATTCTGACTTATACTGAGCCCAGTACTAATCTGTTCATATAAATATGCAGGATGACACCATGTGAATTTAACAAAATTAAAGTAGAAGATTCCACACGAGGGTGTATAATTCTTCCTGCCATGGATTTTTGACCCAGTGTTATAATACAATACATAGATGCTATTCTGTTGAACTTACCTCATATAACATAAGAAAACAGTCATGTAGCATGATTAATAAAAACCTAGAGATATAAATTGGCATCCAACCCGAAGGTCAGAAAAGCAAAATAGCCAGCCACTGCTTTTACCTCTAACTCAGCCTGAAATGATGATCCTTCCTCCAGGAATCTCAGAATGAAACTGTGTGTAATAGCTGTCTTCTCCTGTTTTATATTCCTTCCTAGTGCTAGGATTAAAGGGGTGCACCATTTCTACATGTTTTCTATGGCAAACTAGTGTGGCTACTGGGAATGAAGGTGTGTGTCACCACTGCCTGGTCTGTAAGTCTGGTCAGTATGGCTGTTTTACTCTCTGAACTTCAGGCAAGCTTTATTTATTTTTTCCTTTTTTAAATTAATTATATTTATTTGTTTACTTATTTTTTATCTTTATTATTTTCCCCCCTCCCTTCCCCTCCTGCTTCCCCGCTCACCCTCCTCCCTCACCCTCCCTCCTTAAGAGAGGGCAGGGAATCCTGCCCTGTGCGAAGTCCAAGGTCCTCTCCTCAACATCCAGGCCTAAGAAGCTGTACATTGAAATAGACCAGGGTACCAAAAAGCCAGTACATGCAGTAGAAACAAGTCCCAGTGCCTTTATCAATGGCTTCTCAGGCAGTCCCCATTGTCAGCCACTTTCAGAGAGTCCGGATTGATCACATGCGCGTTCAGTCCCAGTCCAGGTGGATTTGATGAGTTTCCATTAGGACAGGCAATCTGCCTCAGCCGGTGGACCAATCCCTCGTGGTCCAGACATCCTTGCTCATCTTCTCCCTCCTTCTGCTCTTCAGCTGGACCTTTGGAGGTCAGTCCATTGCTCTGATTAGGGTCTCTGTCTCTATCTCCATCTGTCACTGGACAAAGGTTCTATGGTGATATTCGAGATAATCAAGGCAAGGACAGTACAGGCTTCCTCTCCTCTGCTGCCCAAGGATCTAGCTGTGGACATCCTTGTGGACACCTGGGATCCCCTCTAGAGCCAAGTCTCTTGCCAACCTTAAAATGGCAAGATATTTTCTTCTCTGCTCCGATATCTGACCTTCCTCAATCTCCACCCTTCCACTCCCCCAAGCTCTCTCCAGTCTTTGCCTTTTCCCTTCTCTCCTCCTTTCCCCTTCTCCCAGGCCCATTCCCACCCCTACCCTCACCCTCATGCTTCCAACTTTTGCCCAGCAATCTTATTTTCTTCCAATTTCCAGGAGAATCTATATGTGTTTTTCTTTTTTTATAAATTTATTTATTTATTAAAGATTTCTGTCTCTTCCCTGCCATCCAATTCCTCCCCCCCAATCAAGTCCCCCTCCCTCTTCAGCCCAAAGAGCAATCAGGGTTCCCTGCCCTGTGGGAAGTCCAAGGAACCCCCACCTCCATCCAGGTCTAGTAAGGTGAGCATCCAAATTGCCTAGGCTCCCACAAAGCCAGTACGTGCAGTAGGATCAGAAACCCATTGCCATTGTTCTTGAGTTCTCAGTAGACCTCATTGTCTGCTATGTTCAGCGAGTCCGGTTTTATCCCATGCTTTTTCAGACCCAGGGCCAGCTGGCCTTGGTGAGTTCCTAATAGAACATCCCCATTGTCTCAGTGTGTGGGTGCACCCTTTGTGGTCCTGAGTTCCTTGCTCGTGCTCTCTCTCCTTCTGCTCCTGATTTGGACCTTGAGATTTATGTCCTGTGCTTCAATGTGGGTCTCTCTCTCCATCTCCTTTCATTGCCTGATGAAGGTTAATATTCAGGAGGATGCCTAAATGTTTTTCTTTGGGTTCTTCTTATTTAGCTTCTCTGGGATCACTAATTATAGGCTCAATGTCCTTTGTTTATGGCTAGAAACCAAATATGAGTGAGTACATCCCATGCTCCTCTTTTTGGGTCTGGCTTACCTCACTCAGGATAGTGTTTTCTATTTCCATCCATTTGCATGCAAAATTCAAGAAGTCCTTGTTTTTTACTGCTGAGTAGTACTCTAATATGTATATATTCCATACTTTCTTCATCCATTCTTCCATTGAAGGGCATCTAGGTTGTTTCCAGGTTCTGGCTATCACAAACAATGCTGCTATGAACATAGTAGAGCATATACTTTTGTTGTATGATAAGGCCTTTCTTGGGTATATTCCCAAGAGTGGTATTGCTGGGTCCAGGGGTAAGGTGATCCCGAATTTCCTGAGAAACTGCCATACTGCTTTCCAGAGTGGTTGCACAAGTTTGCATTCCCACCAGCAATGGATGAGTGTACCCCTTTCTCCACAACCTCTCCAGCAAAGGCTATCATTGGTGTTTTTTATTTTAGCCACTCTGAGAGGAGTAAGATGGTATCTTATAGTTTTCTTGATTTGCATTTCCCTGATCACTAAGGAAGTTGAACATGACCTTAAGTGTCTTTTGGCCATTTGAACTTCTTCTGTTGAGAATTCTCTGTTCAGTTCAGTGCCCCATTTTATAATTGGGTTGATTAGCCTTTTGTGGTCTAGTTTCTTGAGGTCTTTATATATTTTGGAGATCAGGCATTTGTCTGATGTGGGGTTGGCGAAAATCTTCTTCCATTCAGTAGGTTGCCTTTTTGTCTTAGTGACAGTGTCCTTTGCTTTACAGAAGCTTCTCAGTTTCAGGAGGAACAGAAGGAGGAAGAACATGAGCAAGGAAGTCAGGACCGCGAGGGGGGCATCCACCCATTGAGATGGTGGGGCTGATCTATTAGGAGATCACCAAGGCCATATGGACTGGGACTGAAAATGCACGGGATAAAACTGGACTCACTGAATATGGTGGACAATGAGGGCTGCTGAGAAGCCAAGGACAATGGCACTGTGTTTTGACCCTACTGCATGTACTGGCTTTGTGATAGCCTAGCCTGTTTGGATGCTCACCTTCCTAGATATTGATGGAGGGGGGAGGACCTTGGACTGCCCACAGGGCAGGGAACACTGACTGCTCTTTGGACTGGAGATGTAGGGGGAGGGGAGTGGGGCATGGGGAATGGGGGAGAGGGAGGAAAAAGGGAGGCTGGGGGAAGGCAGAAATTTTTAATT